CTTGTTTTGGCCACGCAGACGTCATTTCACCAAAACCACTGTTTTTACTATTGCAATCACAACTTTATTTGGTTTTTTGCCCCATAGCTTCAAGATCAGTTCTACAAAAAACGCAAAAACGTTGGCACGGATACATCATCATGCAAGGAATGCAGCTGCTTCATACCAAATGTTTGCGCGAGAGAGAAGCTGAGTTTTGAGGCTCGAAATCGTGCTAACTCTAGGGTAAAGTTGGAACTAGGTTGAAAAAGGGCACGAAAACGCATAGATTTTCCAAGCATCAAACAAGGTATTTATCGAAAGAGCTTATTTTATCTCATAGCCTTGGTACAAGCTAATTAGAGTGCGTGAACCACAGAAGAGCGTATGCTTTTGAAGCGCATTCACTCCAAAAGCATTTACAGCCATCTAAAAAAAGAAACGATCCTCTTTTTGAGCTGCACTGGGTTCAGTGTGTAGCAGATATGTCAGACTTTGTTACTGTAACTCTACAAAAAATTTGGACTCAAAAGATTGCAATCTTGAACGAAAAATGGACCTTTGTTTGAGGTGTTCGTATAATTATGAACCGCTAAAAATTCGCATTAGGCGCAAAAACACTCCTCAGATTGACATCGATTTCCATTCTTGTGGATCGTATACCGTTTCCGGCTGTGCTCTATCGCGTGGTACCAACGGCTTTTTGAGTTTCTTCCAAAAAGTCCAAAAACTTTCAAAATTTGGGGTGTTCGTATAATTATGAACCGCACTTTATGTCAGTCATTAGAACACATTTCTACATTTTGCTAGGCTAAAAAATGTTTCACTGGGAAGTTATTAGTGTATGCCGTCGCTGATAGGGCTTGGTGTGCATTCTCACATATTGAGTTACAAATGACTCAAGGTTACGCTCTACCTTAGGTCCCGGACAGACTTCACGCGATTTGATCGTCGAGACTGAATCGCGACGAGAACTGTTACAACATCATTCCATGCCGATCAACGTGCATTTCGGTTGTGATACTTTTCCAGCCCGAAATTTATGAATCTATATCAATACTTATATAATATTTGGATAAGCATTTTTTTATGACCGGCCTGAAACGGTACAAAGAATCAAGGAATTCGGATGAAACTTTGCACACATGAAGTTCGGGGTGGGGCGGGTGTCACTAAGCTTTTTCGCCGAAAATCACCGTGTGGCGCTATCGATTTATTGATTTTTTGCGTTTTTCGCTTAGCAAGTCCGTTATGACCGGCCTAAAATGTTAGACTTCATTGAATTCAAACGAAACTTTGCAGACATGAAGATCGGGGTGGGGCGGGTGTCACTAAGCTTTTTCGCAGAAAATCACTCAGTGGCGCTATCGATTTATCGATTTTTTGCGTTTTTCGCTTAGCAAGTCCGTTATGACCGGCCTAAAATGTTAGAAAACTTCATTGAATTCAAACGAAACTTTGCAGACATGAAGATCGGGGTGGGGCGGGTGTCACTAAGCTTTTTCGCCGAAAATCACCGTGTGGCGCTATCGATTTATCGATTTTTTGCGTTTTTCGCTTAGCAAGTCCGTTATGACCGGCCTAAAATGTTAGAAAACTTCATTGAATTCAAACGAAACTTTGCAGACATGAAGATCGGGGTGGGGCGGGTGTCACTAAGCTTTTTCACAGAAAATCACTCAGCGGCGCTATCGATTTATCGATTTTTCCATGTTCTAATCTTTGTTGAGCTGAAAACTGGCAGGAAGGGATAACTGAGCATGGTTAAATTTGAACAAATATCTACAACTTTGACCACTAAACTATTTTACCTTTTTTGATTCTTTGTATGCCACATTCTGGAGGCTAGCTGATATCCAACTATGCGTTGACCTTCCGCAACGGGTTTCATCGACTGATTAGCTCATCAACAAAATCAAAATGGTTCATCCACGAGATAAATATGACCAACAAATCAAAATACCCTATCCCGGCCTTACGGTTCATTCATAACATGCCTTCATCGGTCGTACCTCCTTCGACTACTGTTACTCCCGAGACCATGGCGCCGACATTGACCCCCTCCAGCAATGGACCGTCCCCCTCCACACCTCAGTCACAGATGCATATCGCCCAGAGAACCCGAGCCCGTACCGCAGCAAGGCGCATTTCTGAAGCCATGCGTAGCCGCCTTCGTCGTAGCCGAGAAACACCAGAGGAACGAGAACGGCGTCTTGCCTCAATGCGTGAACGTCATCTTCGTCGACGGCAACAGGAACCACAGCTCGACGGACACCTTCAGGAGACACTGGATCAATCCAGGCATGGTGCGAGGCCAGAACGGGTTGGCCAACGAGGATACGAGCCAATCGACGAGAACACAGCACAAACGATTACCACGCTTGACTCGCGGCAACAAGCAATGTTTGAACCGGCACCTACCTCCACTCCCAGTTCGCAGATGCACATTGCGCAGAGAACTCGAGCAAGTGGCGCAAGGCGGATCTCCGCAGTTGCACATAACCGTCTTCATCACCATAGCCAGGAAGCACCAGATGCCCAAGGAGAATTTGCCTCCATGCACGTAAGTTACCTTCATTGTCGCTAGCACAACCACTTTTCAAAGAATGCGTTCAGGAGACGAATGCGGCCACACACCAAGGACGATCCGAGGAGACCAGTTCCACATCCCAGTCGCAGATGGACATCGCACAAAGAACTCGAGCACGTGGCGCAAGGCGGACCTCCGCAGCTGCATAACCGTCTTCATTACCATAGCCATGAAGCACTAGACGTCCAAGGAGAATTTGCCTCGGTGCACGTAAGTTACCTTCATTGTCGCCAACACAACCACTTTTCAAAATTTGCGTTCAGGAGACGGATGCGGCCACACGTCAAGGACGATCCGTGGAGACCATTTCCACACCCCAGTCGCAGATGCACATTGCACAGAGAACCCGATCCCGTACTGCTGCAAGACGCACTTCTGAAGCCTTGCGTAGCCGTCTTCGCCGTAGCCATGAGACATCGGCTGCACGAGATCGACGTCTTGCCTCTATGCGTGAACGATACCATGAACAACACCTATCTGCTGATGTGCCTTCCGTCACTGAGCACTACCTCGGCAAGTTGGACGTTATTTGCCTCCATTGTAGCGCCGCATTTTTTCGTGCTGAAGTCCTTAATGGCTTGATAAGATTAATGTGTGCTGCAACTTTGGCAACATCATCATCGAAGACAAGTTCGCCAATTTCCCCACAGAGTTGCAACAGCTCTTCATTGGCAACGACGATCATTCCCGGAATTTCCGCCGCAGAGCACGCCAATTCAATTCGGCGCTGGCGATGGCATCAATGGGTGCCAAAGTCGACTTGCCTTCCGGTCAGGGCCCCTGGGTCTTCAAAATCCACGGGCAAATCTACCACTACTCCGGTCCACTTCATCCCGCCCCTGGGGCACCCCGATCGTACGGCCAGCTGTACATTCTGGACACAGCACAAGCAGCTGCGGAGCGCCTCGGTCATCCTGCTAACTCGGAATGTGATCCCGACGTGATGCGATCATTAAGTGCACTGATACACCGTGTTAATCCCTTCGCTCGATCCTACAAGATGATGGACGAGGTGCTTAAGGAAGAAGAATCTGCCGCGTCAAGGGAGAACCGCAGTGCTGAGCCAGTTCGCATGGTTTTCGAGATGGACCGTTCCCTCGACCGTCGTCGCTATAACGCTCCTACATGCAACGAGGTGGCCGTTGTTTACGTCGGCGAAGACGGTGACGTTCCCGCCCATCGCGAATTTGCGGTACATCCATATGGCAACGCAGTTCAGAAGATCTCAGACATTTCCAATCTTGCCGATCCCCTTTGCTACCCGGTATTTTTTCCAAGGGGAAATTTTGGCTGGAGCCCGGATCTGAAGAAGAGGGATCACGCCCGTCGACGCTCCCGCATATCTCAAAGGGAATACTACTCCTACTTGCTTCAAGTCAGGCCTGGCAAGTTCAATCCGATTCATCACGGAGGCCCACTTACGCAGCAGTTCATTGTCGACGCTTGGGTTAAGACGGAGCAGAACCGCTTCAACTACATCCGCACTCATCAAGCCGACCTACGAGCGGATACGTACCAGTCGCTACTCGACTTCATCTCCACTGACGACGGTAGAAATGGACCACCGGGCAAACGAATCATCCTGCCAGCCACGGTTAAAGGAAGTCCGCGCTCTATGTTACAAGACTACCAAGACGCCATGACCATAGTCGCAAAATACGGCAAGCCGGACTTTTTCATAACGTTTACATGTAACCCCAAATGGCGCGAAATTGAAGAGAACCTTCAGCCAGGACAGACTGCCACCGACCGTCCCGACATGATTGCGAGAGTTTACAAGTGCAAGTTTGACGCCCTCATGGAGCTACTTCTCACATAACACGTTCTCGGCCGCGTCGTAGGTTACGTATCAGTCTTCGAGTGGCAGAAGCGAGGGTTGCCACACACGCACTCCCTTCTCATCTTGGATAACGAATCGAAACCTCGCACAACAGCCGACGTTGATCGCCTCATCAGCGCTACCATTCCGGACCCCGCTGAGGACCCAGTTCTGCACGGAATTGTTACGACAATGATGATGCACCGACCTTGCGGAATCCATAACCCGGAGTCACCGTGTATGCGTGATGGGAAGTGCACGAAGAAGTTTCCCAAGGAGTTCTGCGATACCACTGACTTACAAGTGAACGGTTATCCCAAGTACAGGAGGCCCAACGATGGCCACTATGTCATGTACAACGATGTCAGGTTAGACAACCGGCACGTGGTCCCATACAACGCGTTCCTCTCAAAGACATTCAACGCGCACATCAACTTGGAGATCTGCTCAATGGTGGAGGCCGTTAAGTACCTGTACAAATACGTTTACAAGGGACACGATGCCGCTTCAATCCGCCTCAGCAAACCGAGCGCTGCAGAAGACAGAGATGGCCATGTCATCGATGAGATCACTGCTCACCTCGACGCGCGTTACGTTTGCGCTCCCGAAGCCATGCATCACATTTTGGAGTACAGAGTAGATAAGAAGTCTCACTCAGTCTATCGCCTTGCAGTCCATCTACCTCGAGAACAGCAGGTCACCTTCCGAGCTGGAGAGGAGCAACAAGCTATCCATCGTGCGGCTGTGCGTCACACTACATTGACTGCGTGGTTCAAGGCCAATGCGGATTGCGAAGCGACCGTAAACAGCGGTGCGATCCCAGCAGGGTTCATCGACATTCGTCGCTATCTCTACACGGAGCTGCCTACGTATTTTACATTTAAGCAGGATGGTACGTGGACTGCCCGACGTCGAGGCGGCAATCAGCTGGGTCGAATGTACACGGTATCTCCTCGCGACACGGAACGATACGCTCTTAGACATCTTCTTCTATGTGTTCGCGGAGCCACATCATTTGAAAAACTGCGTACTGTCGTCGACGAAAATGGCAATGCGGTTGTACATCCCACCTTCTATGCTGCAGCCACAGCTCTAGGACTTTTTGATGATGACGAATCCCACATTGCCACTCTACGGGAAGCTGCGCTATTCGCTACAGCTTTGCAAATGCGGGCTCTTTTTGTCTCTGTGCTTGCATTTATGGAAGTGAAGGACCCGGCGTTGTTGTGGAACACTTTTAAGAGGAATTTCATCGACGACTACCTTCACGAAGGCATGTCCGAAGAGGAAGCCATTGCCGCAGCCTATTACGATCTTGAGGAGCGACTTATCAAGAGCAATATCAACATTGCTTCATTCAACATTCCCACACCGTCGTTAGGCCGTCGTCCCATGACTCATGCGTACGATACTGCATTTTGCTCAGCCGAAGGTAATCGCTTATATGGGACTTTAAATTCACAGCAAAAGGCAGCGGTTGACACCATTCTTGGTGCTCTTGATGTCCCAGACGCTCCAAAGCTTTTCTTCATCGATGGTCCGGGCGGTTCAGGTAAAACGTGGACCTATACATGCCTTTTTAATATCCTCATCGGTCAAGGGCGCAAAGTCGCGTGTACAGCGTGGACAGGAATCGCGGCCAACCTGCTCCCATCGGGTCGCACAACGGTGTCGTTGTTCAAGCTAAATGTCTTGAACAACTGCGAGACATCATCCCACAGAAGGCAGATGAAGGACGCGAGACTGCTCGCCGAAAACGACGTGTTCATCTGGGACGAAGCCTCTATGATCCCAAAAACGGCTTTTGAGACGGTGGATGCTGTACTACGCGATATCATGCAAGTGGACAAGCCCTTTGGCGGAAAAATGGTCGTTCTCGGAGGCGACTTCAGGCAGATCTTACCGGTTGTTCGCAGCGGATCGCGAGCAGACCAACTAAACATGTGTATTAAGCAGTCCTCCCTTTGGCCGCATTTCATAGTACTCCGCCTTTCCGAAAATATGCGAGTGACGAGCCGCGATGCGGATTGGAAAGACTTTCTATTGCGTGTGGGCAACGGCACCGTCAATGACAGCCAGGGACGAGTGAAACTGCCAACGGAAATCATAGGTCGAGGAGATATAGTCCAGGAGCTATACGGCGACTGCATCGAACCATTGGTTGATTTGTCCGATCAGGCTATCCTTGCCCCCAAGAACGCCGATGTGAATTCCATAAACGAACAAGTTCTAAGCCGCATACAAGGTGAAGAAAAGATTTACTATTCGCACGATGAAATTGTCACCGACGACGCTAACGACCAGAATCAATTTTATACTACCGAGTTTCTCAACAGAATCTCTAGCTCCTCCTTGCCGCCGCACTGTCTCAAGTTGAAAGAAGGCGCCATCGTCATGCTGCTTAGGAACTTGGATGTTTCATCCGGGCTATGCAATAGAACACGACTACAAGTCCGCGATATGGGCCGTCGTCTCATACAATGCAAATTCATAACAGGTGATCGGCATGGGCAGTCTGTCGTGATTCCGAGGATCCACAACTACGACGACAAGAATCTGCCCTTTAGACTTTGGCGCTCCCAATTCCCCGTCAGATTGGCGTTCGCTATGAGCATCAACAAGGCCCAAGGCCAATCCTTTAGCAAGGTTGGACTGTGGCTTCCCACCGATGTCTTCAGTCACGGTCAACTCTATGTGGCCCTCAGCCGTTCGAGGTCGCGTGAAGGTCTCATTGTGCAAGTCGCCAATCTAAAGCCAGTCAACGTCGTTTTCACCGAAGTCCTGTGAAATTCTACACTCTAAGATTTTTGCTGTTACGAATGCTCTTTTGTTACTGTTGTTGTGTCATAGGCCTTTTCTGTTGTACTTATCGTTGCTGTTGTTGTTGGCATCTTCTTTTTTGGTGTAGTCACTGTTGCAGCCATTCTATGTTGTTGTCAACTGCATACTATTTGTGGCTTATGATGTTGATTCAATAAATTTGCAGGTACAGAATTATGTCTTCGGTCTGTCGATCTAAACAGGTCATAAACAGAAGTAATTAGTCCGAACAGGCAATCAAATGACTTGATCTTACATTAGTATACATTAAAATGAAAAGTGTAGGAGGCAGCGAAGCTGCCGAGTAACAGCCGAATCTGCCGCGTAGGGCAGAGAGCGGCTGGTATATATATAAAACTCAAAAATTGTCAGTTTGGAGGGTATGTGCGTTATAGAAACGCGCGCCGCTCAACCGATTGAGCTTAAACTTTACACACATATGTTTTCGAGCCTTGCGCAGATGATAGGCTACTTTTTGCAGCGATTCGTTGGGTCCTTCTATCGATTTATTGATTTGCAGCACTTTGCAATAAAAATGATTCTTATCATTTGCTATCAAAATAGGGGTATGTAAACAAGGCTGGCATGTCTCATTGTGAACTTCTGTTGACGAAGTGCAGTGAAAAGTGTTCTTGATGTGAGTCTCAATTGCTCATTCAAATGGATGCACTAAATGTATCTTATGCGGAAACCTTAGCGTGCAAGAGACCGTGAGTGCTTTGTAACGAGTGTTTTGTACGGAAGCGTGCTCAATTTACGCTTATAATCAATGCTTTCTTCGTTACATGCTCAATTTAAACAATGAGGGGTCAAAATTTTTCATGAGATTGCGCGCAAATTATTTGTCAATACCAGAAATAATGTCAAGACAAGCGACAACTCACATTCGCTATAGTTGATCCCTGGGACCAGGAAAGTGCGCGAGTGCAAAGTACTGCCGACTCCACAAAAATTGACGGCAAGCAGTGAATGAAGATGAAGTAGCCGGTTAACGGCAAAGTGTCACAAAAAATGATCCTCATAATAACAATGAGCGCTGCTATCAATTAACTCGCGCTGCTTGCTTAGGTTTTGCGTGTTGAACATGATTTGGAGAAAGAGAGATATGCTACCGACTAATAAGTGTTCACATTTTGTTTTTGTTCTTTACACAGTTTCTACAATGCCATCGAATACCTTATCTTCATTCCCGATCAGTGATCATTCCCGGGCTGGACCGGGCAGATCAGCTAGTGTAAAATAAAAATGAATAGAAATGTCGGCGATTGAGTCGCGACGATCAAATCGCGTGAAGTCTGTCCGGGGTTTTAAGGCTGTTTCGTATTCATCAAAGTACCTCAAGGTTAACTACCTCAACTTACATAATGTGCATTGATGCTCATTCAAGGCATGCCATGACTCTCAGCGGTGTGTAAAATCTTCCTTATTGTTAATCTCTCTTTTCCATTTCGTTCTGTGGGTATATATGCTTTAGGACCACCTAATGCTCGCTTTGCGTACGTTGCGCTGCTTGAAGAGCGGACGAAAAAAAACAAAGAGAATCACTAGATAATCACAGCCTGACAATATCGAAAGAGATATCATTGTTGTTTTTGGTAAATTACCCTAAATATCATACATCTTTGACGCCATAATCTGTGTTCTTCTAACAATAAGTTATTGAGATCTGTTTCCGAAGAAACACGCTTGTACCCCAATTTTACGCGTACAAGGCGCGGGGTGGTCCTAGCTTTCATCGACCAGCCCGAACACGTCAAAGGACTTCGCAACCAAGGGGCCCCATACCGTGCTGTGTTTTGCCTGACGAATCGTGCGGCATAAGGATCGCTTCTTAAAACACGTTGGGGCGGCTGAGCAGCTTGATGAAAGCTAGGACCATCCCGCGCCTTGTACGCGTGAAATTAGGGTAATTGGAATTATTCGAAATGTTTCAACCTCAAGCGCCAGCCGCCAGCTGCCTCAATGATATTGAACGGGAAGCGGAGCCCAGCATGAGGGTGGCAAATGGGCATTCTTGAAACGAGTTAGCCTTTGCCACTATTCTACGATTTCCCTTTGATTTCGTCAGCTGCGTAGGTTGTTCGATTGAAGCGCGCTTTCTCCCTTAAACGCACCGGCTTCGTTGGTATACCGAATCCTAACGAAGATTTAACCTTTTTTGCAAAGGTACTACATTAGACTCCGTGCCGAATTTTTTCTGGTCAGCTCGATTACCAAGTCAACATGATAGGCGATGATATGACTTGTGCACACAAGTAGCTGAAGTAGTTAGGGTAGTTTTAAGTTAGCAAGTAGTTGCTAACCATGCACTCCTAAAAAACATTGGAATGTTTTCCTAAAATATTTGCGGCCTCTTTGCGGTCTTCCGTCGAAATATTCTCTCACAAGGCTAACTTGAAATGTACCAAAAAATTCGAAAAATAATGGAATTACTTACAAGCGTAAACAACTCACTTGCAAATTCTCACAACTCATAAGTAAGTTTTAAAAATTTTCAGACTATCCCTTCCTCTCCATTGGACCACTGGTCTATTGTACGGTGTCAAAATTACGGAGTAGACGACTGTACTGCCCCAGGGGTTAATGGATGCCACGAAAAGAATGTCAGTTTCATAAAGTTAAAATATTTTGAAATGTGAGATTTCTCAAGATTTTAAAGTTGCCCAAAAATTTGTTGAAGAGTTTTTTCCAGTTTGCTGATCACAAATGTGATTCTAGTAGTTCTCCAATCTCGTAATCCTCGCTGGAAAGTTTTATCGAAACAATATCCCGGACTCTTAGATGGTGCTCTGACGTAGTAGAGCTGTATCTTAGCTAAAAAAGAAGTATGAATAAGAGTAAGAAAATATTTGGAGAAACATTGGGAATTGTTACAAACTGAGTGCGAAGCTATGTGGACGCCATGATCTCGCTCCTTCAGCAAAAACAAAATTCTGAGAATTATGTACCAAAATCAGCTATACCAAATTCAAAACTAACGATTGTCGTAATGGCACAAACGTGCCAGCTCAGACGCTGGAAGCGGACGAGCTGTGGCCCTTAATATTACTATGATTTACAAATTGTGAGCCGACAGGGGAAGAAAAATTATAGTAAACTTATGATCCGGGGTCAGCCGCCCTATGAGGGATCACGGTTCGAGTGTATTTGGGTGCAATTGCACCCAAAGGCCGCTGGTGGGCTGCACCATAGCGGGAGCAGAGTTGGAACATTCACTGCATGATTTTCCGCGGCTCATGTGTTATCAGAGCCTGAATTATGAAGAATGTATGAGTTTATGGCATGTACTTTTCTAGCTGCTTCGGCTGCAGTAGTGAGATTAGAATGAACCCTACTTCAATATAAGACACCTTGAGAAGCTACGACAAGGTAAAATCTACCTCAAGGTATAATTTCGTATTCATCAAAATTTATCTCTCAAGATTAAGATAACCTATGTCAGCATAATAGACATTGACGTCTTCTCAGAGAAGGGCATGGCGTACTTGCGGTGAATTGCTTATTTTCACATCTGCATGAAATTTACGCGAGGATACTTGTGTCTTTAGAGTGTGATAGGCTACAGATGGTTATTTGGAGAGGCTAGGGTCCACATATTCAACAATTCAAGGTTTTAAAACTCTATCCGAGATAATATCTGCTTCTAAGTACAATTTACAAAATTCTTTGTTGCGATGCATACCTGATGCCTACTTCAACTGAATTTGAGTTGAGCAACTGAACAAGACTAATGAAATGCGTTAAACGTACGTCAACACTGGCTTTTCTTGAATACAGAGCTTGCAAAGCGATTGTTTTTGGGTCATACAATTCCTTAGCTTGTGGTTTTAGTGTACTATGCTCAAAATACTGTTTGATAGGATCTATGATGCTCAAAATGCTGTTGGAGCAAATAAAGGATGTGTTTGACTTTCATTCGTTCGATACGTCAGTCTCACAGTTTTACAACACTCACAACATACCCATAGGATTGAAGAGAAACTTATATTAATTCCTTTACAAGTCTATAACTTTAGCTGATCTCAACTAAATTGGACATTGCTGCAATGGGTTCAGTTTTGCCCTGCAGTGTTTAAAATCAGCCTCTAAAGCCTTGTAGATTTCTGAAGGTATCTGTACTAACCTTGCCTATTGCTAGGGTAGAAGTTTCTATTGTGAATGTACCTTGAGGTAAAGGCATCAAGTTTGATGAGTACGGATTTATCGCTGATAAGGCTACCTTGAGGTAGAAATCACCTTAAAGGCACCGTCCACCCAAACTAATTCTAACCAAACTAACTCTAATTCAATGTTTTTGTCGCCTCCAGGCCTTCTGAAAGCCCTGATTCCGAACATGGAGTCGAAAATCCGCAAAACCCCCAAAATCCCTGTTTCGAGAACCCTCTGCAACAAGCGCAGGCGAGATAAAGCATGCAAGTGGACGGGGCGACCAGGGTCGCGCCGCCTACTTTGCTACTTCCGGAGCGGATGTCTCGCTCCAGAAACAGTCTTTTGCGGCGAAGCTTGGAGGTTTGTCTAGTATGGGGGCCCACACTAGTATGCCATCGTCATCTCGCCAACCTCCATTTTGGGTGAACGGTGCCTTCAAGGTATCATCCATTCCACATGCAATCATTTTCAAGGTTGATCTAACCTTGAGCATTTACTTCAATGATGAATACGGGTTTTGAGTGATAATCCTACCTCAAGATTCATTTTACCTCAAGGTAGCAATGATGAATACGGCCACTGCTCAAACGAAAGAAAACGAATTGAGCTGTAATCTGGTTAGAAATGGGACAAACGTGATTTTTTTTGCTTTTGATTCCACAATTTGGAGGTTATTTAAGTGGGATTCCTAATGTGAGCAAAGAGATAGTCGTATTTTGTTAGGTTGCGGTCGATTGATACCCGGACAGCCGCTTGCAGCCGCACCGGGTGGTAATTAGCGAGGAGCGACGCAGGCTTACTTGCGTTGCGCTACGCGGCAGTCGGAATCTCTTGCCATTCACTACCACGCTCCGAGGTGCGAAAAGACCTAGGTTGCGCACCGCAGTTCTCATGGCACAGATAATACAATCAAGTTAGGAATGATTGTGGAGTGGTGTACTGACATGATGAGTCAGCAAAACAGCTACCTACTAGCAAATCAGTCAAAATTTTGAAAACAAGAGATAAATCTCTTTCTTTTCCTGACAGCTAGTCATCTTGTATTCCAACAATCTCTGTAGGTTGCTTCACACTCTCCAACTGTGATGAGATTTCTTAGCTTAAGCTGTTTTCCCCGCTTGTAAAATTGAATGTCTCTTAGAAATTCCGACTTCTTCACGAACTGAATATGATTGCAATTAATTTCTGAAATCCCAACTTTCAGACTATTACAATATGATAGTTTCCAAATTTTGGCGTTCAAAGCCAATCATCACGAAAGAAATTGGCTAGAAAATTGAACAAAGAGTAGAGGAACTGCATCATACTAAGTTGTTTATTCTTCACTATGTGTGTTTTTGCTACCAGCCAAAATACTCGAGGCTGATAGTTAATTAGAAATTCGAGTTGAATTCTAGAAAACGAGTTGAATTTTTTTTTCCAAACCTAGATTTGATTTCGAATTTGTTCGACCATTTCCAAGCATCTTCTTTGGGTGACGAGCAAGAGGAACGATAGCTGGTGGGTGTCAATAACTCGCGCATTTTTTACCGTCGTTTTTGTCCATCAGCATCAGAAATTTGGAGTTTTTCCTCCTATTATGCTTTCATTTAAACAGGAGAATTAGATAGATACTGTTTGCTTGTAAATGAGATGTGAAAATAAGTTTTGAATATCAAAAAAGGGTTTCAAAGAAGAAACTTCAAGTAGTTCAAATTTTTTCTTGCAATAACATTACCAAACTAAACGTATCACTGGGCTCTGAGCAGAACTCATTGAGTAAAGCATTTATTCCAACTTTATTCAGATTTATAAGTCTGAAAATCAGGGCAGTTTGAGGCAAATATTGTATTGGCAGCAGCGGCTGGCAGTTGCTATCGTTCCTCTTGCACCACACCCATCCAATCGTTCAAGTATTCCTAGTCATTGTTCTATATCTACTTCTCCTTTGATACTTTTAGAAAATGATTCCTTAGAATTGTTTCATTAAAACCTTCATTCTTTAGAGAAACTTCTTGGCTGTTACAACTGCATAACCTAGGTCTTTTCGCACCTCAAAGCGTGGTGACGAGAAATTGTAACCAGATAGAGGTCTTAGAGAGGCGAGAGGGACTGCGCAGCGCAATAAGGTTGTGTCGCACCTCAGTAATTACCACACGGTGCGGCTGCGAGCGGCTGTCCGGGTATCGATTGATACGAACCCTATTTTGTTTTAAGTGCAAAAAGAAGTAGTTGACTCATCTTTCCAAAAATGTTAACACGCTTGAAAATGCCATCTCACTTGAGTGGCCCAATTTTTGGAAACCCCAGAATTCGCTGAAACTTGGGCCCACATGGATTATCAGACATACTAATTCCAGAAATGATGCCTTTCTGCTTGTAAGGTCCTTTTATTACGCTTACTATATATATTAGGTCGTTTCAAAAGTAATTTCGCTTTTTTCAAATGGGCGCCACATTTGATGGAACAAAGCTTTCTAAGACTTGGCAGCATTCGATGCAGCATTTCATCCTCTTTCTAATGGTTATGAAACTGTTGCAAAACAGTCAATGGACTTTCAGAAAATATCCAATATTCGCAACCTATGCTTTTTGAAATGGTCAAGTTTCACGATTTTTTAAAACTTTCATAACAATCCTCAGATGGACTTCGAGTAAATATTCGATAGAGTAAACCTTATAGAATACAGCAACGCTTTTTCCTTTTTCTCATGGCTCACCGTAATTTTTTAAAAGATTTTTTAACAGAACCATCGGATTTTGGCAGGCCCACCTCAGCCACAATCGCATGAAACATCATAAATTTTTCGGAATTTGAGACTACCAAAATGGTACCACGAGCTAGCACTAATTTTACAAAGCAAGTGAGAGTTTACGGGTTCGAAATATCAAATTTTGAGTTTTTCGGGTACAGCCTGGGGCTCGCTAAAAAAGTGAGTTATGATGATTTTATCCCAGAAAACTAGACGAATCGGAAACAGAAAACATCGTTAGAAAGAGCAGAAAATGCTGCATCGAATAGTGCTCGAGCTGCTCTTCCTCTGATGTCCTACGAGGATTTAGCTATCCAAAAATGGAAATCGGTAGTATCAGTTAAAATTCTGTTAAAAATGTATGACAAGCTATGGAAAGGAGAAAAAAGTAGTACTGTATTCTGTAAGGTTTGCCCTATCGAATCCTTACTTGAACTCCTTCTAAGGATTGATATGAAAGTTTCAAAAAATCGGGGTATGCAATCATCTCAAAAAGTAGGTCGTAGATTTTGGTTATTTTCTGAAAACTCATTGACTGTTTTGCAACATTTTCATATTCATTAGAAAGAAGATGAAATGCTGCATCGAATGCTGCCAAGACTTCCTAGAAAGCTTTGTTCCCTCAAACGTGGCGCCTTTGAAAAAAGCGAAATTACTTTTGAAACGACCTAATAAATATATTAGGTTGTCCCGAAAGTTCTGT